GACGCCACAACCCACATCGGGAAAAGCAAGACGGCCACCGAAGTGACCGCCATTTATACAGGAAATTGTATCAAAGGAAGCGTCAAAGACCCCGCTAAAACGGAGAGAGGAGTATGTAATGCCTTGTTGCATTGGCTACAAGCTTCAAGCACATTCATCGAGGCGGTCACACTGCCGTGGTCAGATGTGTTGACCTTAAGGTCATGCCAACTCTTCTGACCTCTTTTTGCCCAAGCATTGTGCCTCCGCATGCCCTCAAGGAAGCCCCAAGACGCTACAGACAACACGTAAATCGCCAATGGAAATCCACACACCTCCAACCAGTGCCTCTTGTACATGCGCATCAAAACCAAAGGTTAATTGAAAGCTTGAGAAGAAGAAAAATGACTTGATAGACACTTGGCCTACACTGCGGCATTAAAACTGCTCCTCAACCTATCCGTAGCAAAACAAAAACGAATGTCTCTCATTCACAAGGCCTCCTCCAAATGATTCGCTTCAAAATTACCTACAAACATAAATTCAACCTCCATAAAAGGCATATTGCTTGATAAAGAAAATGAAACGAAAGACTGGACAACAGGTAACCGGTAACACTCTCAACACCAGGCATGTGGTAACAACAAAATGAGTTCACAGAGCGATATCAAGTGACAATTGCGGCTGGCACATGTTTAAGAGGGTACACAATTGCGTCAAATGTGCTTTTCGCAGACTCCCTGTTTATAATAATGCGTAGATAGAGAGAGAGAGAGAGGCACCATAAACGCCTGATTAGAATCCATAAGTGATCCCAACACAATTTAGGCCATTTAACTATCACACATTGTGTTTACGTCATTACAACGCAAAGTCTGTCTGGTAAGGTGTCTCCTCCCCCCTTTCACATATCCGTGAGGACGTTGGATAGACTTTTGTTTTGGAATGAGGGAGTTAGGAAAACTCCTCTGTAGTGCATATTGGTTGGCATAGATGGGCTTTGTAGAGGGGAGAGCGAGAAGTCAAGTCCAACACCGCCTCTGAAGTGGTGCTCCTCTTTCTGTCTGTACCTCTGTGAAGGTGTCAAAGAAACCACCTTCAAGACTGAGGATGAGGAGGGCGACATTTCATTCACCACCATCACCACAACTTGACGACCTTAGGTATGGTAGAAACGGACAAATATTCAAAAGGCTGACTGGAATTTACTCACCTAAAATCAGCACTCTGAATGAGAGAGGGAAGAGATTGAAGAAGATCGTCTTTGTCATAGGATGCAAGATGATTGGATTGGGACACTTTGCTTCCCTTATCCGAAGGTATAGGCGAGCAACAGGTCTCCGAGGTGGGAGGACTTTGACCGGTGTGAAAATCTGTTCAAACAAGGGCAATATACATGTGAAACAGTTGAGTCAGTATTCTATGCAAAGCAAAGTTACTCATTTGCCTCTCTCTCTCTCTCTCTCTCAACCTCCCCTAGAAAGTCATAAAACTCACAAAGCATTAAACGTAGGTCTTGCTTTAATTAAAACTAACTTAATTTGTTTATTTATTTAAGACTTGACAAACTTACCCAAATGGATTCCCGAGTCAAGGTTAGGCGAGCACGGCCTTACTTCATCATCCTGTGTATCCTACCCCGAAAGAAGTCAATTAACAATGTATTTAACAAAAAAAAAAATACTCAAATAACTCCTTTAAGTACAATGTCAACAAGTTGTTTACGTAGAGAAGGGAATGAGGAATTTGGGAGTTCGTCAAATGAAGACTCCGGTAAATTGCTATAAAGACATTAAAGGTGTGAGATGAAGACGCCTTGTTAAGCCATTTCCATCACCCCAGTTTTAATGATTGGAGTGTTCATTGTGTGTCCGAGATTCTATGACATCCTAACCTCTAAAGTTGACCAAAACATCACGTGCCGTATGGAGGTAATGAAGTAATGGAGGCGTAAACTCACTGGATCGTCAAAATACGCTTGACCGAATCTATTCACACGCATGTGCAGATCTGTGCGTGGTACTCCATTAATCACCACTTCCACCTAGGAGAGAAGGTGAAATTCGAGACATTAGGCTGGAGGCAACATTCGATCTGACGAGTCTTAAGATTGTGTGTCCAATCTCTAACGCCTTGTGCATAATTACACCTCTCAACATTTGCGTCCTGCAAGACAAATGTACACGAGTATATTAATGTACTTTATTAAGGCATGTGAAGAAACGTAATTATTATTAAACACTACTTATAGAGGGATTCGTAAATTTTTGGACCTTTAAGTATGCTGCGTCCTAGTTGGAGCAAAAAATGGCTTTTTTTTACGAATGTAAGAAGGATGGGGATGAATTAATGCACGAGACTTTTCTTTTTACTAGAATACAGTATGCGAGAAAGAATAGAAATTTTTTTGCTCACCTCATCAGCACACGGTCGAAAAACCCCGGTTTTGCCAAATTGCACATAAAAAGGCGAACTAACAAGCTCGCCATTGGGATATTTGACAACTATGACATCGATAGCTCCACTAAGAGTGGCACTATTAATGTCACTATACATTCGTTTTGCTGATGAAAAAAATCGCTCAATAAACTGCATTGTTGTATTACATCAGATCATATATGCAAGCACACGCACATTCATAAGCACTCATACGCACACAC